TCTTCTTCTTCTTTTTTTTTGAACTGGGGATTGAACTCAGGCCCTTGCCAGGCAAGCACTTATTCTACTGAGCCATCTCCCCAGCCCCTCATATTGCTTCTTCAATGTGCCATCCTTCAGATACTTGGTGGCCCTTTGGACATGCATACCCTTGATGGCCTGGGCAGTTTCACGTGTATTCTTAAAGTGAATGCGAAGATTTGAACCTCTTGATTTGCATGATTTTGTGGGGTTTTTGGGTTGAGAGAGTAGAAAATCATTTTCACAGGTCACCTCAGGCTGCTCACAGGAAGAGCTGTTTCATTTATTTAAAATGCTTATTTGTACTTTATTCTCAATTTTTTCATGAACCTAAAACTGCTTAAAAAGAGTCTGAGCAGGGCAGGGGTCAAAATGTTAATCCCAGCAATCTGGGAGACTGAGGCAAAAAAGTCTTTGTGAGCTTGTTTCTGGCAAGAGCTACATAGTGACTTTAAGACTAGTCTGGACCATTAGTGTGACCCTGTCTCAAAGATCAAAAATAAACTATCTAATACAAATAAATATTAACTTTTCTTTGAAAGGAAGGAAAGAAGAAAGAAAGAAAGAAAGAAAGAAAGAAAGAAAGAAATATAGATAGATAGATTTTAAAAATCTACCAAGCACCAGAACCCTGTTAGGCTATGACTATAATAACTATGTCTTACAAGCAAAACAGATACAACACCTTTCATAAAATTGATGTTCTAACAAAGAAGGAAACTACTGTCTAGTATTGTATGGCAACTTAAAATGTGTTAGTCACTTTTTTCCTTTCCTTTTTCCTGTCTGATGTTACTGTCATATGAAATCTCATAACTATGATTCTGAGAAGCACATTATTGCTGATGGACTATTATAAAAATAGCAATATGACCAATTAAAGTGTTATTGAAGTAGTGAGATTGTGTAATGAGCTGAGTTTCATGTTCAGTCCTGATGGAACTGTGCCTTTCAGAAAAATGAGGTTGGTGGTTTCATTCCAAAGATCTAGTTGTAGCAGTTGTTTTTTTTTTTTTTTTTTGTGAATGTTACCTAATCATAGAAAAATTGGCAATGTTTTCTTAATAGATGTCAGAATCTTTCTCCAAGGTATGTTATCTCAGCTGACAAGCTAATACTAGTATTGCTTATGTCAAGGGAGATATGTTGATGATAATGTTCAATAAGACATACTTTAGTCATGTATTCTGGCTTATAATGTGATTTTCAAATAGTACCTCTTGTTGCTTCTAATACCACTAGTAGAAAATGGGAACCCCCTTTCACTTAGATGATTTCGTGTTAGTTTGCATGCAATATCTCTAGGATTTTGTGAACTTGGAAACCAAGGATGGGGACTTTGCCTATTTGCACCTTGCTAACAAAGTGGAAGAGCACTAGAGGGCCTGGTTAGTATATAAGGACCTTTGAGATAATATATCCAGAGTTGCAGTTTTTCTCTGGGGCTTAGATTTGACTAAGTCTCTGAATATCATCTAGCCACCCCCAATTCTTTTGGACAGTTAGGATACTGACTACTTCTATTTGGGTGTTATGAACAAAATTTAAACATGTATTTATTAAATTAAATTAATTGCATTAAATTAACGTATTTATTAAATACATCTTATCCCTTAAATGAGCTATAAGAATGAGAGAAGCAAGAAATAGTTACTGGCACTTTGAAATAGTTTATAAGGTATTTGACTTTGAGTTTACTCAATATGATAATTGTAACTCAAAGGGAAATACAAAATACAGTCTCCATCCCTTCATTTTCCACTCAGTTGGCCTTTGATATTCAATGACCAGGCCTCTTTAATCTCTACCTGTGCAAATGTAGTAAATCTGGGCTAATTAATATAAAATAATTATAGTGGCTAATTTCATACCTCGTGATTCAGAGTAGCTTTTAAACAGAATCTAACTCCCCAAATAGGTACTATGTGCCCATATTTTCTTCTTTGTCCCCTCCACTTTGACAGTTATTAGACATGGAGAAAAAAAAATCTTTCAATATACAAATGGTACAGAATGGTTCAGGGTCTTCTCAAATTTTAGCTACTCCCTCTTAAGCAATCAGTGCTTGGTAAAATTGAAAAAGGGGGCAAAGCACTCAGAACAGCACAGAGAACAAGTATAGCTCTATGAAAAGGATTAGGTAGCAAAGCAAGCTAAAACCCTGCAATCATTTGTTTTCCTCTTTCTAGTATTCTTCAGTCAGTAGAAGAGGCTGCTATTAGTTGCTGGTGTTATGACTGGGCACATCTGCCCTGGGTCAAACATGCTGCAGTCTGCAAAACCAACAGCAGATTGCAGTCCTCTGCAGTCCAGCCAGGCCAGCAAAATTTGTGTAGTTGCAGGCTGTTCTAGCTAGAATACCGAATTGAGGATGTACCCTTAATGGAGCACTTGAGGACAAAAACAAAGGAAGCTTTTTCTGCCTTAAGATAGCCTGCCCTTCCCTTAGTGTTTTGAGAAGACAGATTTGCATTGGTCAAGACAAGCCAAAGCTGACACTCACATCATTACTAAATCTAGTTCCATGGCATTCAGTCTGTGTGAGTTTAATTTTCTCTCCCGAGTGATATAGATGATAGATAGATGATGGATAGACAGATAGATTGATGTCATGTTAAAGTTGTATATGAAATGTCTCAATGTTTTTGTTTAGATGTCTGAAAATATTTAAGGGAATAGCCGATCAGCTAAGCAATTAACAACATCCCTCAGGGAACAATGTTTTGCCATTTTAACAGAAAACTCCCTTTGTAATTTTGCAGCCACGACAGCCCAACCCTGACTGGCGTTACTCTGCCTCCCTGAGAGCAGGCATGCACAGGTATGTATGTGTTTCCCTCCTTTCTTCATTCAGGAGTCCCATTAACTGGGTTTGGCTCAGATAAATGGGATCTCCACAGGCCAAAAGTAGCTGTTGGAACTGAGAAGCCTCAGGTACTCTGCCAGGGGAATGTATTTATTTTTTGTCTTTGTAGCTATTCCTTGAAACATTGGAAGTGGTCCCTGCCAAATGCTTATCACGTGTTTAGAAATAAAGAATCTCCTGTAAAATTATAGGGACAGGTTCCTATGTATTTTCTTTCATAAAATTCCTACAAGGATGTGTCAATTGAAATTTAAAAAATTTCCTACAAGGATATAATTCCAAATTTCTTCATCCTCTCCACCTATATCTTCTGTCCTTTAAAATTTGCAATTAATAAATATACTTATGGACGTAGGTACATTATATATGCATGTTTACTTTGGATTTTTGTTGCACACTATTACATCTTATTATTCACAATAATTGATTTATATTCTTGTTTATGTTAACTTCTGTTAGAATCACCTTATCTTATCTTTTTGTTATCTTATTGTCATCAAAGGCATAGACTCTTCAAAGATGAGTCCTCTGAATGGCCTTTTTAAAATAATCTGGAGACCAAATACAGCTTACTATAATTTTTTTTTTTCATCTTTTTGAGACAGGATTTCACTATGCAGTTCATGCTGGCCTCAAATTTACAGAGATTCTCCTGCCTCCGCCTCCTGAGTGCTAGGATTACAGGCATACACTACCATGCCTGGCTAGTTTACTCTAGATTAATCTAAAGTAATAGAATTCCCTAATATAATTTTGCCTTTTCTACTCTGTCTCCTTGATAATAATTGATGAACTGCTTTTATTCTTAGAACTGATCTAGTATCCATGCCATATGACCAAATAAAAGATTCATTATTTACCACTGTCTTCGGAAACTGAATGGAAAGTGTGTAAGAAACTAATCACTCCTACAAAAAAGATTTATTTAAAGAATAAACAGAATATTGATCAATTTTGCATGCTTACATTTGTTAATCTGAACAAATACTTTGAAGACAATAATATTCAATATAACAATTGTTGAATTTTTCTCATTTTGCTTTATAAAATTCTGTATTGATTCTGTTTTTATTATTTTTATTCTCTTTAAAATTAAAAAAATAATAACATTAAAAATAAAGAAAGAAGGAAAAAACCTCCAAATTTAAGCCATTCAAAATATCTGGGCACTTATTTATTGAATCTTCACCAAAATTGAGTCGATGTATAGAGTTTACAAAGTATGGGGTTGGCTAAATAGTTCAGAAGATTAAAGTGCCTGCAAGCAGGCACAGGGGCTGGGGATTCAATCCCAGGGCCTGCTGTGCTGGCCCTGGCCCCGGGGCACACTGGTACGGCAATTGAGCCTGGGTGTGGGGGTGCACACCTGTAATCCCAGCTCTTGGAAGGCTGTATCCAGGCAGATCAGGAGTCTGATCTAGTGGTGAGACCCTGAACACTCTTTAGACCCTTCCCTAAAATACAAAGAAAAAAAAAGTATGTATGGACTTAATGAAAAATTAGTTTTATCCCATTAAAAATTCATTAGGTGAAAATAAATTAATGTCCCCTAAATCATTGCAAGTGAGCAGAGACTATTAACTGGATGGCATTTCTGAACCAGAAGCAGTAGGGGAAGGGAAAGGCTGAAGTTGGTAGTTTGTTTGGTGAGATGCCATACTGGAATCTAGGTTATAATTTCAGATCAGAAACACTCATGCAGATGTCAGATACTAGACATTAGAATAAATTATTTACACTTACTAGAAGCAAATCCATGCTTTTGTCTGTGTCTGAGCTATTGTCAGAGTCTTACAGGTGAAAGCATATTTTACAGTACCAAATTTTAGTCTTGCAACTGAATTAGTGTTTTATTTGGAAAGTACCAAAGCTATAAGATGCATCTGAAAAATCTACATTTAAAATAAAAATTTTAAATAAATAATTTTCATATTGCATTTTGAAATGAAAAAAGCTAAAGTCTAGTAAGGTTTTAATTAAGATATTGTGAAATTTAATTAGATAAGAAATAAAATCAGTGCTGGGGAGATGGCTCAGTGGAATAAGCACTTCCCTGGCAAGTGTAAGGGTCTGAGTTCAATACCCAGTTCCGCCAAAAAGAAAAAAATAAATAAAATAAAATAAAATTTGAAAGTAAGCTGACATTTTTTTCTCACAGTATAGTACATTGAGCATTCATTAGAGTTGTGAGCTTCAATAATGCATATTTTTCCACATATATGTTTGGCCTCTTACCTTTTCCAGTCTTAAACATTGTATAAATCTTCTTTTGGAAATTCTGCTTTGAGCTGAACTGATTCCAGGATAGTTACATCTTTAGGAATCTGATAGAGTCCATATGATTTGTTAGTGAAATTCAAGAACACTTGAAGAATACTCATATTTGGGTAGAAAGGAAATTCTATGTCAAAGATAAGGAAATAGTATTGATAGGTCCGAGCTTAATGACCTAATACCATATGTATTTTTTAAAGTCAAAGAGTAGGAGAATCTTGAATTTGTAGATTGCTTTTTCCTATAATAGTCAAGTTTGCTTGACTGTTAGGAGCCCCTTTATGCCTTCCTTCTCTCCCTCCCTCTTTCCTTTCCTCCTTCCTTCCTTCATCATAATATTTGAAGGCCTAAAATGCATCACTGTTTTTTTGTTTTGTTTTGTTTTGTTTTGCATCACTGTTAGACACACGTAAACAACTACAATGTTTTCTCTGCTCTTGAAAGTGTTCTTTCTTCCCTACTTGCCTCTGCCTGTCTCTCAATTTATATCATACTTCTGCAAAGGGTCAGTGATTGAGATGATTGTGTTCCTTGATTCTAGAAATTATCGGGTGGGTTCGCAACACACAAAAGATACAGAAAGAATGAAACATAAAATAAAGTTAAGTATTAATTGGATGGCTAAACTTATATTACTACAGAAAATTTTAGTCTATTTTTCTCTTTCCTAAATAGAACTCAGAATAAGAGAATTTACATGAGAGAGTTGGGGCTTTAGAGAAGAAGCTCCCCTTGTCTGCTTCACATTAATGTGCTAAAATGGCATTAGCTCTCTTGTGATTTTCCTGTTAGACTCAGTGAATGCCACATGGCATTAATGAAAACCAAATTGCCATAAAGATAGAACATATTTAGTGCCAGGATAGTATAATAGGCAGTAAGGCACCAACGCTTCTGCAGTGTATGCAAGGTGACTGACTGCTCAGCAATAATTACAGCCATTCAAGCATGAGCAGATTGTGTTAGCTGCAGCCCTGCCTCCATCGATGTAAGCAATTTCAGAGGATGGAAAGAGAGCTGGAAAGGCATTTATGGTCTAACTGTTATCTGGGTTTATATGTTTACAGCTCTGTGCACCTGGAGGAGGCTGGCATTCTACGGGCTGGTCCTGGAGGGCCTGATCAGCAGTGGCCAACTGTATCCAGTGCAACGCCAGGTAAAGTACCAGGGTCACTTCATTCTTGCTTAGGTTTTAGAAGCTAATCAGATGACCTTCTACTATAAGATCAGGACTGTTAATGACTTTGACTATTTTCTTCTATACAAATATGATTTATATATATATATATGTGAAGTTTTAGATTTTATACTTAATGTTCTTCAAAAGTTGAAAATAACATAAAGGTAAAAGTGTATGTATGTGTGTATATATAAATTTCTTTATAAAAATAATTAAGTAGGGCCAGGGAGATGGCTCAGTAGAATAAGTGCTTCCCTGGCAAGCCCAAGGGCCTGAGTTCAATCCCCGGTTCTGCCAAAAATAAATAAATAAATAAATAAATATAATAATTAAGTACCTTTCAAATGCTTAGGACATCCTAGCCACACAGAGATATGGTGGGCTCATACACAGAATAACATTGCCAAGAAAGATCTTTTGTTTGAACACAGTGGAAACCCATTTGAAGTAGTAAGCAAAAGGGAGGTAATTAATAGAGAAATGGATAAAGGTCTAGCTACCTAGATAGATGATAGAAATAATAGGCTTTTTCATGTATGTGGAATGTTATCAGCGTTAGGCACTATTCTCTTTGAGTTCAAGTGAAAGCCATATCTACTTCTTCCTGAACCTCAATATCCTTATGCAAACTAAATGTTATTACCTTAGCATGTACATTGCCAAACATGACCGCCACAGAATTTCTTAGTTTGGAGTACCAGTGGGGACCAATTCCTAATCCAAGTTTTCAGGAAAAATGTCCTGCTAGGCTGTGTTAAAAAAAAAAAAATCAGTGGTTGAATGAACAAAGGAGAGTTGCTGAAACTCATATTTCCTTAGTTTCCTTAATCTTTTCCAATTATTAAAGCAATATCATATAATAAAAACATTCCTTATAAGGCCCGTCCATGTAGCAGTTTTCAGAAAGGAGGAACTGTGGATCAACAGAGATTACAAATGGTATCTATCATAATAGTCTGTTAATAAGCCATCATGATGATAGTAGTTACTAGGTATCAATCCACAATATACCAAGACACTGCACCAAGTAAATCACATGTGTAATCTCATTTATTCCTCATAGAAATCTTTATTTTAAAGAGAAAAATAACAATAAAAGTTTCAAAACAAGTTAGTAGGAGAGTTACAATAATGCATTGTGTATTGTTGCTCTCATAGTAGCTATTTAGAGTACAAGATACAGGTGTGATATCTTGTCAAAACAGTATTAGCCCAAACCTTTCTCTCCTCATGAAAATCTTGCCAGGATTTTATTATATTTATTTTGATTTTTAAAACTGGATCTTCCAGACAGGTTAGGACAAATACTCAAGTTTGCATAGCTGTAACAGATAAGATTTAAACTCAAGCTTTAGAATCCAAAAGTACATAAAACTTATATTCAAAGCATGGCTGGCTTGCAAGAATCCATCTAAATTCAAATACATATATGCATACATAACAGATGACATAAGCATATGTATATACAAAGTTCTTTCCAAAAATAGTCAGGAGGTGCCTTTCAAGTGATTAGGCTAAGTAACAGCAGCCAACGTTTATTTTTGCTGGCAACTTTAAGGGCTTCCATTGATTCTAATCAACCAGCATTTGCTATTTATGAATGTTGCACAATTCAACTCCAAGTCATATTTGTCAAAAAATTTCTCAAGATGAAGCAATTTATTAGAAAGCTAATATTACCAGATGGTAGGGGAGGAACATAAAACAATTCATGGAGCAAATCTGCAACTTCAACACTACTGCTGGGGTGAAGAAGAAAGGGAGGAGGACGTGGTTTTAGATTACCAAATGTTGCAGGATAAGGAGGCATCTGAAAAGGGGAGAATTAATTAAAGCAGCATAAGAAATCACACATTGCTGCACTGTCTTCATTTCAGGGTTACTTTTTTTCCTCATAGATACACTGTAGGTCAGTCTGGTAATTTAGGAGCTAAATTTGAATACATTTGCTCATTGATGATTGCTGGCTGGTATATCAAAGGTGACTTAGGAACCATGTATTCATCATTTCATGTGAACCTTTGGCTCAGGTTTTGCCTTTAGATTCAGAAGGATGTTAGGAGCCTAGCTTTTTGGCAGGAGATAGAGGATGGGTCAGTCACCATAGCTTCCCTTCATTACTGGCTGCTGACATAAGAGTCACAGTCCCAATGGACTGTGTTAGATATAGCTCACGTCTTCCAATTACTCACTGATGATGGATAACCATACTTTTCAACATGTATCTGCATTAACAATATGAAATCAAAAAGGTTCTCCTGTGCCACTGGCTGTGCTTTTAGTACATTCAGGTTTTAGACTCAAAACATGTTCTGTGTCATTATTTCCAAGGACAGTGATATATAGATTAGGGTTATGACTTAGAGTCAGATATGCATTGAATTTCAATCCCAAACCTCCTTGCTAAGTGAGTACAGACTACTCATATAGTCAGATATGGTGGTACATGCTTATAATCTCTGGATTTATTTCCATTCCCACCAGAAAGCCTGAATTTATATTTTCTTAGTAAGTCTCTTGGTAATTCAGTACAATAACAATAATGCCTGTCTTACTGAGTTATCATGAGAAAGAAAAGAGAGAAAAAAGAATTGACCATAGTGCTTGACAAAAGGAATTGAACATAGTGCTTAATCAATGTCTAGTCTTCTTGCTCCTTTTTTATAGAACACTTTACTTTTACGTGATCTATGGTATGGCCTCAACTGATAACCTGGTGGCCAGAATACATCAGTTTTCATTTGTAGGCCCAGATACAGGCTGCCCAAAGTTATCTGGATCATCCTGACATCTAAACACTCCCACTACCCCCAGCTGCCCTCCTGGAGATGGAGCGAAGATTTATTAGTTGGTCCTTCACAAAAAGGAATATGCTTCCCTTCCAAAATGATTGTTCTCAGTCTGAAATAGAGCCTTCCTCTTTTTTTCTTTTTTCTTTTTGCCTAATTCTGCTGCCATTTTTGCTTATGAATTATGTTTTTTCATGCCTGAGTCTCCTGACACTTGTGTCTGAATCCTTGCCATGACCAGACTGGCTTTCATAACACCACCTGCAAGGGCTGCAGCATACAAGAAGCAATACCTGCTTCACACTAATCCTCACCTGTGCTTCTTGAAGACTTTTGTCTTTCTTCAGTTAATGCCTTTGCTTTGTTACTAAACTGTTCATTTATTTTCAGCCTACAGATGCCTAGGATAAAGATGCCACATTCTGGAGGGATCAATGGAGGCATCACCAGGTGATGCTTTCTGCAGCATAAACAAGTCAGGCATTAAATTGATTAATCCTGATTACTGGTCCCTTTTTCCAGCCTCTTGTGTGAGCAGACCTGGATCATGAGCTTTCTTATTTTCTTTCAGCTTCCCAGGAGGCTGAGCAGAGAAAGAAAATTAGCTAAGTGGGGAATGTGCACAAGCAGTTTCAGCCTTTTCAGATGGAGGAATGTGCTTTGGGGAAGTGCATTAAAGGGCCAGTCACTTGTGTTTTGACTCTGCTGAACTTTCTCAGTGCGAATGCCCCAAAGAGGTTTCAGTGAATACTGTCTTGTGATTAGTTACTAGTCAGAATCCCAAGAGGTTATAAAAAGTATGCAGAAGGATGTGCACAGCTGATATGCAAATATCCCACCATTTTAATGATGGGGCTTGAGCATCTGCAGACTTTGGTATGCATGGGGATTCTGGAGCCCATCCTCCATGGGTGCTGAGGGACCACTGTATTCTCTATTTCTAAAAGAGCTCAGGGAATTGCCAAGCACACAGCACTGCCAAAGATAACCTTACAGTTTGTGAAGCAAGATCCCAGGAGATCTGGGACTGGAGAGTGAAAGATTAAATACATAGGGGAGGCTACTAAGGCAGTGAGGCCTAGACAACCTTTGTTTAGATGGACTGGACAGTGATTCTCAAGGTTTAGTTCCCAGTGTAGTAGTACCAACAATACCTAGGACCTTGTTAGAAAATCAAATTCTAAATTTACCACGTCAGAAATTCTCAGCAAACTGTTTGAACAAGTCCTCCGTGTGATCCTAATGTACTCTAGAGTTTAAGAACTGGTCCAGAGTAAATATTTCCAATGTTGCAAACTATCTTTGGAGGTACAGTACCTGTGAGGAAGGCATCGGTTTATGATTCCTGCGGGAAGCAGGGAGATGATTGCTAAAAGCTCAGGCTCTGGAGACACAGCAATCTTCCTTTGAATTCTTGCTCTGCCACTCAGTAGGTATATGCTTCAGGGACCATTGCTCAGCTTTCCTTTTTTTTCCTATAAAATGGAGATAAGAGCAATTTTTTATCTTATAAGGTGCTGCAAGAGTTAAATGAGATAATACATATCACAGAACATGGAGAACAATAAGAGGTTAGTAAATGAGTCTATCCTTAAACTTCAGAATTTATACTCTAGTTCCGTGTAATTTCTATAGAAAGGCTGTGTTGTAAAGATTTTTAAAAATTATCTCTTTCTCTGTTTCCACTGGGGATTGTTTTTGTCCTGGTTTGTCAGAGCTTCTTACTCTGCAGGAAATGGACATGATTTACATGCCCTAGTTTTACAGGGGGAATACATAGGATTATTTGTGTTAGGGATTCTTGCCTTTCTGACAAAACCAACCCCCCCAGGAGAAATTCCACTTCTGATTCTTCTCCAGACAGAAGCCACATTTCTTAAGATTTTGGGGTGTCCATTAGGAACACTGTCAATAGGAATGTTTCCATCTCATGAGCAAGTGCAGCCTCAGGTTTTGTTGGAGAATTTAGAAAGCATGCTGTCCCACTAACCTGCTCATCCTCGACTTATGCTGTTGCCATGGCAATGACAGTCCTGGGAGGTGTGTTCATATCCTTATTAGGAAAAAAAATGAGATCAAGGATCTTGCGAGCAGGCATCACTCTCCTGTTGTGTCCTCCACTCTCACCTTCCATCTGACTGCCCAGGAGTGCCAGCTTGGGTTAGAGATCTCAGGCTAAGGAAAGTA